GAAAATATCACCACAAAATGAACAAATCTGAGAGAGGTCCACATGTAGTACCTATATATGTAATATCAAAGCAATTGCACTTGCGGTTTTTAACAAGAAGTCGAAAATATCACTTTTTACCAAAAATGACAAAAATATTCATTAAAATTAGATAATTGAAGACATCATCCTGAAATGAACAAATCTGAGAGGTCTACCTGTAGTACCTATATATATATATATATATATATATATATATATATATATAATAGCAAAGCTATCGCTGCACCTTGTGCATATATGAGATAGTTGTTATTTAATGACCAGATTCGTAATTATGCATATTTCAATTGGAATTATTCCATTGTTTGCTACATGCAATTATCATTACGAGTTATGTTTTATTTGTATGAATCATCGTTGATAATATTCGTTATAAGTTTCTATTCTATTTTACTGTCAAAGTTGCTAGCATAGTGTATTTCTACCATCATAGCAATTACGTTACGATACGATAGAAACTACCATCGTCCAGCTATTTTAAGCCAATTCCAAATATGGAGTGTTAGCCAGAGCGAGGCTTAATGTAACAGCCAATCAGAAGTTTAGGCTGACGTTTTTGAATTCTCTAGTTCGGTACTTTCTCTCTCTGTCCACGTTTTGAGTTGTGCTGTGCAGCCATTTTTACTGCTGGAATAAAAGGGTATTCTCTGTTTTGAATACTGATATGGTTACATTTGCGTAGTGTTTATCATCTACCGAATACAGTATTGGTTGATAGTTACAAGATTCCTGATTCAGTAGCATACCCCGCTACAAAAGCAATCAGAAGTCAAAAATTGGAGAATTAAAGATATCATCACGAAATGAACAAATCTGATATAGGTCCACATGCAGTACATATATATGCAATAATATATAAGCAATTAGACATTTGGTTTTTAACAAGAAGTTGAAATTATCACTTTTTACCAAAAAAGACAAAAATATTTATTAAAATTAGAGTATTAAAGTAACATCACGAAATGAACAAATCCAAGAGGTCTACCCAAGGTACACATACAAAATGTACACCAAGTATCAAAGCATTCAGACTTGTAGTTTTCAAAAAGTCGAAAAATTAAAACATTGACACGGACGACGACGGACGTTAGCGGTCAATCACTCATATGATAAGCTCCGCTCGACAATGTTGACAGCGGAGCTAAAAACTGCCTAAAAAATCATTGATTTCTTGGTCCCATTTTATTTTTTTAAAAACCCAAACTGCCCAGGGCGAATTTATGGCAGAATCCGGTAATAGGATGTACCAACACATACAATCTTTTAATAGTTACACTATGTTTATTAAATATTAACTTGTACAACAAAATATTATACTAATGATGATAACAATGTTCCATCTTTACCAATACAATTATATCAGCTTGTCAATAATCAATCCACTTTATGTCAACCCTATTTCTTCAAGAACACTTCTATTACCATCAGTTTCCTGTAACCAATACAACAACAGAGCAATGATTAAGTTCCAAAAAACTGTATGGTGGCAATTTTTACATGCAGTGATGAGAATAAGTGCCTTTAGTTAGTAACAAGGGTGATTATAAATGTGCTGGATGTATGACATTATACTGGTACTGCAAATGAGATGTATGTATAGAATGATACTATCACATGCAACTACATGCAAAATTTACATCTAGGGAAATGGCTGAACCCATCAATGAATAGTAATGTTTTACCAATTGATTTAATACTACCTACAAGTACAACTCATCAGCTGCAGAACTTTAGGTTACAAAAATACTAAAATGTTAGTTAAATTTAAGCAAGGTACATGTTTGTGATGTATATGTAACAACAAAGATAAAAAGTTATGCCTTGAAAACATTTAGTTTTATCTACATGGATGAAATGTACAACTTCCAATGATTAACATCAATATTCTGCCATTTCCCGTTAAATACAACTAGGAACATGAATTGTTGTTAGTAAGGTATGTGTGCCTACAGAGTTGTGTAAGAAGTGGCCACCACTAGCATATAGAAGGTAGTTAAAGGAATCCCATTTCTTCTAGAGCATTTCGCATGGCATCAGCCTCCTAGGCAAATGAAAAAAGAAAGTAAATCGATACTGCCTGAGCAAAGAAAATAAAGTTCACCAGAGAAATTAAAGTTAACATAACTGTATCAAGGAAGTAACAAGCAGTCTCCAGTTAATGGCAAGCAGGCAAGGTTGATAAATAGAGCCTAGTGTGAATGATACGATCATTGTGACTATGTCAAAGCCAAGATGTAATACAGATACATGTCATGGCTGTTATTTGGTATTGAAGTAGTTGATGTGCATTAATTTTAACATGCAAATAGTGATGCTAGGATGGCAAAGATAAAAAATCTTTATTGAGATCTATCAGAGATACAATTCGTGTTTAGTCACAACTACATTTAGAACAGAGTATGTGAAATCAAAGAAAGCTTAGAATAAATTCCTGTGTGTTGAGGGTATTACAAGTATGACGTACATGTATATAATATATGTAAATTAGGTACTTAATATGCATAGTTTTTTACCATGATCTCACTATAAAATGTTACATCGATGCAAGTTGTGCCCAGTAATTAATTCTTGCATTGACACCAGCAATTCTTACTAGAGACATAAATATTGCTGGCACTGGATAATATGACAGAACACTGTCTTGCCCTGATATTTGTGGAGTATGAAAGTTATTTTCACAAGTCATGCAGTCTATCCTGAGGCTGTATACAGCATGAATAAACCGTATCACGAGTAAAATTAACTTCCATACTCTACATTCTGTTACTATTACAATGTATTATGTTCTCTGACTTGGTAAAAATTACCAAGAAAGTCATAATCAATTCATCCAAGATGTTTGTACAAGTACAAGTGTGCGCAAGGGCAGTGACCTATTCAAAATTCTGTTCAATGATTGGTTAATCCGGCATTCTATGTATATATGCAAATGAGGAAGATACACCTTCATTGAAGTGTTTGCCATTGTGTAAGCGATGAAAACGACAACTGGCAAAAGCACCAAACAAAACAAACTTTAAGTGTTTCATAATAGAAGCAGCCTTACAATCGAAATAGCTCTGCTGTTTTTGTAGAAAGTCTTCCTCAAAACAAAGTTGACAATGTTCAACACGATGAGATGTTTATTAGTGTTCCCACAATGTTGTTGCTATATCACAAACAATTGTTATCATTTTGAGCTGGTAGATTTCAAGATGTTCATGAATGTAACTTTGGAAATCTCATTATTTAAATTACACAAAAACAACATTCAATTACAAGGGCCAATTATATATAACTTGGCAGCTCATGTTATCCAACACTGATCTCTCTTTAGCTCTATGTTGGAACTAACTAACATATTTTCAGTTTAACATTGTATACAGTCAATTTACAACCTAAACCTAAACTTAGCCTACTTAAATACAGTTGACTGTGGCCCTGAAATTCAGTATAGAATGCCAAAATGAATGCACTTATAACACCCTTTGCAAATGGTTTCCAATATTCCAATATGTTCACATTAGTTTTTCAGTCAATGCAATTTTGCAGACTTTTCAACCATTCCACTGTGATTGTGACATCAGTAATAGATTGCATTAGATAGTATTTCAAGCTAACCAAGATTTTGCCATTCACTGTATCAATGTCTAGGGCTGCAAGTGTGATGCAGAACATTGTCCTTGGTGGCAAGTTGATGGTCAATCAAAAACCTTTAAGACAGATTATTCACACCACCAAGCAAGATGCCAACTGGTGCTAGGAGGTCATCAACTCTGACTAAATAAAAGCCATTCAATCCTGTATCTCTGTCACTCCAATTCATGTAAACCATACAAATGTGCTTATTAAAATAATTGTTGCGTGCCATAAATTGTATGCCCTGTTATATTTGTTTTACTGAATTGTATGATTTTTTTTACTCAATGTGATATATTGAAAACTGTATTTTGAATATATAGTCAAACATGTCGCCCTCTGGTGAAAATAATGTTTTTCTCTTTCAACATAGCATCCTACATGCAGATCAGTTTCATTTCCATATGCTGATTCGATCTGAATATTTTAACATCATAAATTAGACATACAAACTGTGTCAACTGTAGAGTACAATATTGTCCTTGGCAGTGGTTGGAGGGTTGATTAAATGTATACTTTCTGAAACGTTTTGTGTTGTGATATATCTCAATGCAAATTGTACTATGAACTGCCATGACCAGTCAGTTATTTTGACCTTTTCAGACTTTGTCAGTGGTTAGAAAATGGATTCCAAGATGGATTTTAATATTCCATGCATATACTAACTGTGTTACCAATGTTCTTATGACCTCATCCAAATCTTGCTATTGTTGACCTGAGCATAATATTTATCTGATTCATGTACTTTTCTTGATGTCATTTATCTGAAATGTATGCTTTAGTTTATATATTTATTTTTTATTTAATCTTTTTTTGACAAGTTTTATATATATTTCCCTCTAAAAATGGCATTCTACATGCAGAACAAAATTAAACAAGTCATTGTCAATGACACGTCCCCGTTCCA